CTTTACTTTTTTCAAAATATTTGCTAGAAGGAAAGCATGGACCAAACTGACAAAGTTCTTTAATGTGGGAAAAGCATTTGACTCCTGAGCTGAGTACTGTCGCAAGCTCTCCAGTCAGATACAAGGTAATCTTCCATTGAATTTCCTGGGTTTCCATTGAGTCAATGTAAATAATGAGCTTTCTAAGGAGCTTAATACTAATTTTTCCACTTAATATGAAATGTCAAATTCATTAGATGGTTAGATGACATGAGAATTGAGGTTGGGATGTAGCTGCAGTGGTCCCCAGCTTTATCTCCTGTTCCCAACGGTGATCAGCACGGGCATGAAATCAGGTTCATCTCAGTTTACTGCAGAGAGGTCTTGAGGAAAACGTCGGTGCACCAAGAGCAGGTTTGGAATCTGTGCAGTGCAAGAGACTCTGCACAAGCTCTCTGGGCAACTGACTGTCAGGGGCAGGAGCCCTGGCGTGGCCGTGCCTGAACAGCACCTTTCTGCCTACAGTGCCACCCTCGATGACTGCCCTGGGGCCTGGGATTGGACCCTGCACTTGCTGCAGGTGTCTCTGGCCTGGTTCCGTGCTGACCAAAGGCTTGGAAGCATCTCAGAACCTCGGTTCCCAAGGGGGCAGCCTCAAGTGGCTGCCGGGCAACTGAGGCCATGGCTGCCTGAACTTTGGGAGCAAGATGCTGATGTCAGAGTGGCCATTGTGACGCGTGCGACCAAAGCCCCAAAAGGGAAGGCTGGGCTCAGGCCGTGTGTCAGTGCGACCTGGCAACGGGAGGAGAAGGTAAGGCAGGGAAGCAGCTGCCCAGGGACCAGAGGGGCCCCACACCTCGGGGCTCTGGGCCTGTGCTGCAGGCTCACCTGCCTCTCCCTTCTCAGAATCAGCGCAGGAACATCCAGAGGAGACCGCGGTGTTCCTGAACGCGACGACGGGAGCAGAAGGCGGACAGGAGCAGGGCTCACGCAGGGCTTACCAGGGAGTAGCACCCTCGTAGCTCTGGGCCTGTTCTCCAAACTCCCATCACTCTTCTTTCTCCCGCAGAGAGAGAGAGGTCCAGCACCTGGCGGAGACAGCGGCGTTCCTGCACAGGGACTCAGCGCTGACAGCCGCCATGTGCGACAGGGAGCAGGAGGGCCCTGATGGCAGGGAGCCAGGTGAGGGCAAAGCAGCCCTCCCACAGCCTGGCCCAGGGGCTGTCGGGGTGGCCAGCGTGGGGCCCAGAGCAGAGGCCGGGGGAGGCAGGAGCTGCTCAGCCAGGCCAGGGCTGGGAGCCTCCTTCCTCCTCAAGTGGGGCCCAGCTGGGCCAGGGAGCAGCTGTTGGGAGCCCCGTGCCCGCAATGGCCGCTGCTCTCCAAGGCCTCCAGCCCTGCCCATCAGCCAGGCACGCAGGCAGGGACAGAGCAGCCCTTGGGGCCGATGCTGCGGGCTGAGAGCCCCACAGAGCTGCTCATGCCCGCTGCCATTGGCTCTGTCCCCTGCAGAATGCGTGTTGTGTCACCGTGTAGAGGCTGACCCGGACATCTGCGGAGACAAACAGGAGAAATACGGGCTCTGTGCCCACGTCTTCTGCCTGGTGAGTGGCTCGGGGCACTCCACCCAGCATTGCAATGGGCAGTCCCTGCCACCCTGTCCTCATCAGCTCTTCCCATTTTCTGCAGTATTTTGCCACACTGCTTTTCCAGCAAGCCAATGAACGTGTTGGACTCCTGGGTTTTCTGCCTCGAGATATCCAACTTGCAGTCAGGCGGGCGGCACAGAAGGTGAGAGCCTGGCAAAAGAGCAGGGACATTTGTGCCAGGAGAGGCTGGCCAGAACTTATCCCAGACCCCCAGCAAGAAAGGCTGGCCATGCAGCCAGCTGTGGGACAAAGTCTGGCTCCCAGCAGCTCTGTGGAGCCTCTGGCACAGGAGCTTCCCTCACCAGCTGGCTCTGAGGGCTGAGAGCCAGCAGCGGCCCCATCCTGCGCCCTGCCCGGAGCCCTGGGGCCGCTGATCTTGGGCTGCTTGTCTCATTCCAGCACTGCTGCGTCTGTGGCCAGAGCGGGGCCACCATCATGTGCTGCAAGGAAGGCTGCGACAGATGGTTCCACCTGCCCTGTGCCAAGGAGGGCGGCTGTGTCAATCTGTACATTGCCCCATTCAGGTAGCCCCTCTCCCCTCCTGGCCACCCCCAGGGAAGGACCAAGACTTTCTCATTATGCCCATCCCTTTGCCCCCAGGTCCTACTGCCCTGAGCACCGTCCAGAGCAGGACGTGCAGGTGACTCCAGAGCCGGGCACCGAATGCCCCATCTGCATGGAGCCAGTGGAGGACAGAATGACCTACAAGACCATCGTGTGCCCAACATGCAAAAGAGCCTGGTTCCACAGGGACTGCCTCCAGGTGGGAGCCATGCCCTCAGGCCTGGGACACAGCAGGTGCTCAGCAGCACCGGGGCCTGGCTCACACTGCTTCTGTTTGCCCTGCAGGGACAGGCCATGCGCGCTGGTCTTTTTTCCTTCTCGCTGCCCCCTCTGCAGAGACCATGAGGATTTCCTTGTTGAAATGTTCTTTCTGGGGATCCGAACCCCCATCAGGTTGGTGTCCTTCTGCGGGGCTCACAAGACAGGAGGGTGCAAGTGCCGTGCTGTGCCAGGCCCTGCCCCAGAAGTCCAGACCCTGCCCCATCCAGGGAGTCTGGACTTCCGCTTCTCACGGGACTTGGAAAAGCATTGGAGGAAGAGCAGGGACACCCTGTTACCTCCATGGGGTCAGGGCAGCAGAAACACATCAGCTTTTCCTTTCTCCATTAGAGACCCAACATGGGAGGACAACAATGGCTTTGCAGATCTAGGAGAGAGGCACAACACGTGCAATGCCAGGGAATGCCTTTACCCAGGAGGCAGGGAGGAGGCAGAGGAAGAGGGGTGAGTTGGGAAGCTGCACCCGGGGCTCTGCAGGGAACCTGTGTCTCGGGAAGGGCTCAAAGCGGAAAGAGCCAGAGGAGCTCGGCTGCACAATCCCGTGCTGGGACACTTTGTCTTCAGAGCCATCAACCCGTTTGCTTCCCCAGGCCCTGGGAGCTGCTCCTGTGCTCCTCCTGTGCTGCCGAGGGCACCCACAGGCGCTGCTCTGGCCTGACAGTGAGGACAACCCACTGGGAGTGTGACAGCTGTGCTGGTCTCGACACAGGTATGAGGCAAAGCAGGCGGGTGTCCCTGGGCTGGGGCCAGTGCCCAGGCTGGGCACGGCAAAGCCCATGGGCTCCTGGAGGGCTGGGGGCAGTGCTCTGGTCGGGCTTTGCCTGGTCCAGGCCTGTTTGACATTCCTGTTTGCTTTTACAGGCTCCAGGGATGAGCCGGAGCTCAATGGCCCCAGCCTGACCGGACAGTCAGGACTGGAGTCTTCTCAGGGCCTCTCAGAATCTGAGGCCATCAGCCCCACCTCCAACACCCCAGTGTCATCGGGTCTGGCTCCCCGTTCTCCATCTCCGGAGGCCAGCAGCCACAGCAGCCCCCGGCGTGCAGCCTCATCCTTGGCAGACAGCGGCAGCCCAAGCACATCAAGGCCAAGACACAGCAGCTCCATGGACCCTGAGGACAGGGTCCATTCCAGATGTGCTGGGCCTGACCGCAGGCAAAGCCGCTCTCGCCAGCAGAGTCGGGCCACAGATAGACCCGTCCGGTCACGGAGTCGCCGTGACAGGAGCAGCGGGACAAGACCAAGGGCTGAGAGGCCCAGGCGCAGGGAGACACCATCACAGGCTTCCCCCAGATGCAGCTGCTTCTGCTGTCAAGCTCGGGCCTTAAGTCCACCTGTCTGGTCAAGGAGTCACTGTGACCAGAGCAGCAGGACAACATCAAGGGCAGAGAGGCCCAGGCGAAGGCAGACACCATCGCGGGCAGCCCCCAGACTCAGCCGATCCCGCCGGGAAGCTCAGGCCCAGAGTCCACCTGCCCGGTCGAGGAGTCGCCGAGACAGGAGCAGCAGCACAACATCGAGGGCAGAGAGGCCCAGGCGAAGGGAGACACCATCGCAGGCAGCCCCCAGACGCAGCCGCTCCCGCCTACCACGTCAAGTCTTGAACCAACCTGTCCGGTCCAGCGGTCTCCAGGACAGGAGCAGGAGGACAGCAGCAAGTGCTGAGAGGCCCAGGCGAAGGGAGACATCCTCAGGGACGTCCCCCAGACGCAGCCGCTCCTGCCCGCAACGTTGGGCTTCAAATCAACCTGTCCAATCCCGGAGTCGCCAGGACAGGAGCAGGAGGACAGCAGCAAGTGCTGAGACACCCAGGCGCAGGGGGACACCATCGGGGACGTCGCGCTGGAGCAACCGCTCCTGCCAGCCACGTCGGGCCTCAACTCGGACCTCTATCAGCAGCACGTAGTGTCATCTTTTCTTTCTAGTCCTTCCGTTTGCTGCTGTAAGTGAAGGTGAGAAGGGTCAGTACAGGGACCTTGAGATTTGCAGGCCTGTGGGAAAACCCGAATTAGCTCTTGGCATTTCTATGATTCTTGATTTCTGTTATCGTGTATTGTTAAGGGAAAAGCCACTTAAGGACATAGCTAATTAAAAAGGACACTCATTGCTGCCTTTAGACAGATATTTCCCCACTTCTTACCCTTGAAAGTGAACCAATCCTTAATGGCTTGGATACGTTTAGGGAGACATGAAAAGCAAGGTGGCTCTTAGGGAAGCTGTCTTTGAAAAGGCCGTGTGCTGAGTTGCTATCCTTAAACCATCTCATTTCAGTAGAGCCTTCCTTCAGTGAAGCAGAAGAAGAAAGTAGAGAGTGAGACACTGCCTCAAATGTCTGGAGAAATCGATTGTGACACTGCTGCTGATTTTAAAGACTTGATTGGACCTTCAAAGATCAAACCAGAAAAGACCGTGGAAATAGCCTGGGACAAAGAGGATGCGCTGGACTCTGCCCCAGATGAATGTCCGAGACCTTTGCCTGAAAAAGACAGAACTCAGGAGTAGAGTGCGTTCAAGTTTTCCATCTTTGGAGACACAGAGGAGTTGGGCATCAAAGAAGGTAACAGCAGAACCCTCCTAACGGAGCCATTTCTAAGGAACAGCTTCTGGCAGGCACTGTAGAGCAAGATGGTGTAAAGAAGGTCATAATCCAGAGGATGATCAGCAGCAGAAGTCAGTACTTATGCTGAAGCATTTTGATCTTCATTGCTACTTGCCAAGGTTGTGGGAGATTAATGAGAGGTAACACCTGCTTGCATCTCAGGAATTTTGAGAGGCACGCCTTGAGAAGGCATTGGGATTTTTGCAGAGTGGTGAAAAAGCTTGTTGTCATGCCCTAAAGTTCTCAAACAGGGACAAAGGTGACACAGCAGTCATACCAAGTTACATGGAACACAACAGGATTTTAAGGAAAATGGGTGTTAAGGTAGAGGGAGGAGCAAAATCCTGGAGTTGACCCCAAGCTCCATGACCATTCATTAGTTA